GGGGGGGTTTTTTGGGGGGTGGGGGGGGGGGGGGGGGTGAATGGGGGCTTCTGTCGGGCGAGAGGGAATTATTGCGAGGGGACAGTTTGGAGGTTTTTTTTCCGAAATATGACGGGGCGATTAACGGCTGTGGAAATATATGAGTGGAAAATTCATTCAGATTCTTTTAAAATTACTTAACAGCAAAAGTTTTTGCCAAGTAATTTTAGAAGAAGTTTAACATAGATTAACCACAGTTCCTTACTTATTGATTTAAATTAGAAAATAATTTTTAATTCTCAATTATAATTAAATAATTAATTCTAAATATCTGAATTTGATTTTTCAATTAATTAAATAATCATTATTCTTGCGAAGTTGATTACTGATTTATAAAATACTTGAAAAATTGACAAATTTGATTTATGATTAATTTAATAGTTGAAAGATTGAAAATGTTGATTGATAATTGATATGAAAAAAATTATGATGAAATTTGAAAAATTGTACAGTATAGCTACCTGATTTTATATTCACCAAAATAATTTGTATTCTGTATTATGATTGTACCTATCGGTGAATTGATTATGTTCGTGCAGAGGGGAAATTCAGTAAATGTGAATGCTGAGATCTTAATTAGTGAGTTGGATTCATATTCATATATTTTATTCTGGGTGTTGTTTTTTTAGGACTGAATGAAAAACAGCCGGATGTTTGCGAATGTAAGTCGTCGGGTGAGACGGATTGGGGGAATTATTTCGGGGCTTTTGGGGGGTGAATGGGGACTTCTGTCGGGCGAAAGGGGAATTATTGCGAGGGGACAGTTTGGAGGTTTTTTTCGGAAATATGACGGGGTGATTAACTGCTGCGGAAATATATCAGTGGAAAATTGATTCAGATCCTTTTAAAATTACTTAACAACAAAAATTAAGTAAATTACGTAATTAAGTAATAAATTACGTTGTAAATTAAGTCATTAAATTACTTATATTAATTATAAGTAATTTTAAAAGAACTTTAACATAGATTAACCACAGTTCCTTACTTATTGATTTAAATTAGAAAATAATTTTTAATTCTCAATTATAATTAAATAATTAATTCTAAATATCTGAATTTGATTTTTCAATTAATTAAATAATCATTATTCTCGCGAAGTTGATTACTGATTTATAAAATACTTGAAAAATTGAAAAATTTGATTTATGATTAATTTAATAGTTGAAAGATTGAAAATGTTGATTGATAATTGATATGAAAAAAATTATGATGAAATTTGAAAAATTGTACAGTATAGCTACCTGATTTTATATTCACCAAATAATTTTTATTCTGTATTATGTTGTGCCTATCGGTGAATTGATTATGTTCGTGCAGAGGGGAAATTCAGTAAATGNTTGTACCTATCGGTGAATTGATTATGTTCGTGCAGAGGGGAAATTCAGTAAATGTGAATGCTGAGATCTTAATTAGTGAGTTGGATTCATATTCATATATTTTATTCTGGGTGTTGTTTTTTTAGGACTGAATGAAAAACAGCCGGATGTTTGCGAATGTAAGTCGTCGGGTGAGACGGATTGGGGGAATTATTTCGGGGCTTTTGGGGGGTGAATGGGGACTTCTGTCGGGCGAAAGGGGAATATTTGCGAGGGGACAGTTTGGAGGTTTTTTTCGGAAATATGACGGGGTGATTAACTGCTGCGGAAATATATCAGTGGAAAATTGATTCAGATCCTTTTAAAATTACTTAACAACAAAAATTAAGTAAATTACGTAATTAAGTAATAAATTACGTTGTAAATTAAGTCATTAAATTACTTATATTAATTATAAGTAATTTTAAAAGAACTTTAACATAGATTAACCACAGTTCCTTACTTATTGATTTAAATTAGAAAATAATTTTTAATTCTCAATTATAATTAAATAATTAATTCTAAATATCTGAATTTGATTTTTCAATTAATTAAATAATCATTATTCTCGCGAAGTTGATTACTGATTTATAAAATACTTGAAAAATTGAAAAATTTGATTTATGATTAATTTAATAGTTGAAAGATTGAAAATGTTGATTGATAATTGATATGAAAAAAATTATGATGAAATTTGAAAAATTGTACAGTATAGCTACCTGATTTTATATTCACCAAATAATTTTTATTCTGTATTATGTTGTGCCTATCGGTGAATTGATTATGTTCGTGCAGAGGGGAAATTCAGTAAATGTGAATGCTGAGATCTTAATTAGTGAGTTGGATTCATATTCATATATTTTATTCTGGGTGTTGTTTTTTTAGGACTGAATGAAAAACAGCCGGATGTTTGCGAATGTAAGTCGTCGGGTGAGACGGATTGGGGGAATTATTTCGGGGCTTTTGGGGGGTGAATGGGGGCTTCTGTCGGGCGAAAGGGGAATTATTGCGAGGGGACAGTTATTGGTGCTGTTTGGAGATTTTATTCGGAAATATGACGGAGTAATTAACTGCTGCGAAAATATATGAGTGGAAAATTGATTCAGATTCTTTTAAAATTACTTAATAACAAAAATTGTTGCTAAGTAATTTTGAAAGAAATTTAACACAGATTAATCAAAGTTCCTTACTTTTTTATTTAATTTTGAAAGTAATTTTTAATTCTCAATTATAGTTAAACAATTAATTCTAAATTATCTGAATTTGATTTTTCAATCAATTAAATAATCATCATTCTCGCAAAGTTGATTGCTGATTTATAAAATATTTAAAAAATTGAAAAATTTGATTTATGATCAATTTAATATTTGAATTAATTGATGTAATAAAAATTATAATGAAACTTGAAAAATTGTACAGTATAGTTACCTGATTTTATACGTACTAAACTAATTTTCATTCTGTATTATGATTGTGTCTAGCTCTGAATTGATTATGTTCGTGCAGAGGGGAAATACAGGAAATGTGAATGCTGAGGTCTTAATTAGTGAGTTGAATTCGTATTGTTGGGGAAATTTCTACTCACTGATTATCAATCCATGATACAGGGGAATTAAGGAGTATAGTTGGAAGTTAGTAGCTGCGAATTGTTTATTTGTCATTCTAGGTAACAGTGGTCTTTCATTTTTTTATCACTCGTGCGAAAAGTGAAATTTGATGCATTTCGTCTTTGGCCATTTCGCCTTTAGCGAAAGCTACTGACCTCCCACGAGTAAAAATAAAAATTTACGCACTCGTGTCGACATATGCTACTATGACACTACACCGAGTGTACGGTATAGTCGACGCGTGCGGTTTTTTATTTTGTGAGCCTCTTCTCCTGGGTTGTAAATCCCAGATATACTGATCTCTAGCGGGGAGATGCGACGAGATTAAAAACACAATTCACATACACTAGATAAAGTTTGAATATATTAATTACACAAGTTTAAAATTGTTTGCACACTTAGGTAAGGATTATATGACACTAATAAAGCTTTTAAAAACAGTTTTGATTACACAAATCACTAAAAGACTCAACTAAATTACGGATATTTGGTGTGAAGATTTGATTTTGTCAGAGTACAGAGAATAGTGTGTTTGAAATACAAATTTTGAGAGTGAGGGTTCCAGAGGACAAATGATTTTACAGAAATTTTCTCTCAGTTTTAAAATTGGTGAATTTCTAGGGAGGGCATGAAAGAAAGAAAGAGATCTGTGAAGCAGCCTCAACATGAGTTTGGGACCCTCGGGGCAAGTCCCAAGAGAAGCAAAAAAAGGGTATGAAATGTCCCTTCGTGCGCTCAGGTTTTATGACTTGTACGTGATTTCTGGTATTTCTCAGAGTGGAGAGTTCCTAATTTTTTCTATATTGCATGCCTATACTTTTTTTAATGAAGAAACTTAATTGAAAAAACGAATAGGGTTTTTCGAATATGAATCATTATACATACTGTGAGGGTTTTTGTTAAAGGATAATAAACTATTTCCTTCAGTTGAAATAATAAAATACATTTAATTAAATAAGCTTGGGTAATAAAATAGGACTGGACTCCAACTTCCCCTCATAACACCTTAAATTAAAAAAGAACTTTCAACACGCCCAAATTACTTAATTTTGTTTTATTAAAAAATGTTACGAATACATGCCTATGGATTATACAAATCAGACTGTGAAAAAATTGATTATGTTCCTGTAAACGCGAACATAAGGCAGTAAATACAACCCCTAATTACATGATTAATTACTCCTACTGTTAGATAAATTTCTACTAACTGGTTATTCATCAGACACACGAAACCACGAATTAATACTCGAAAATAAGCAACTAAACATGATAATAATCAACGGGAGTCTGTCGTTCTGCATTCTGGATAAAAAAATTCACTCCTTCCCTCAGTCCTTCTTCTTCGGCTTCTTGGGATTACGTGAGCGAGATTTAGCTTTGCATAATGGACAGATCGGTGCATTCCTGTGGATCTGCTGATGGCAGGAGAGACAGGACTTCATGGGTGGCGGTTGTTGCCTGAAAATTTATTGACATTATTTCTTGTCTATCGTGTGGCTCTGCTCATGAGACATTATCATTTCTGTAACGAAGCGGTGAAACGACAAAAAATTCAAGTCGACTTGGCTCTTTGCTGAGTTTTTGACGGATATCTCCGAATCTAACGGAGATAGCCAAATTTTCGTAATAACCTTTTTTGTAGCTCTCAATTCGCTCTACAAAAAAGGTCATAACACAAATTTTCGTATCTGCCTTAGTTTTCAAGATATTCCGGGAAAACTGACAGATAGTCAAAATTGACTTGAACCGTTTTACCCCTTCGGTACTGGTTTGCTTCATAATATAATTGCTATTTATTTACACTGTAGTAAAAAACTGTTTTTAGGGGAAAAAACTCATGAAATTTTGAATTTTTTTAGGCAATTTTTGATTGAATTTTTCGTTCATTGAGTTTTCCGTGGAATTTTGCATTCCCAATGTAAAAATTTAAAAGAATTGAGTGAAGTATTTTCAAACAGTGTAAATGAATAATTGAACCCGGAAATCTATAAAACGGTTATTTCTCAATCGACGAATGAATAATGCCTCATCCAGCAGAAAATAATCCATTAATAAAAATGATATAAAATTGAGTTATACCAGTGGTACCTGAATGTTGGAGCAGGCGGACCTGTGGCGGGTGGTAAGGGTCTGGGCTCGGGTTTACTGGGGCCCTGCAGCGGCTGAGGGGCTAAAAATGGCGTTGAAGCACCAGGATGCCCCGGATGTCCATGCAACCCGAGTGGTTGCATTAAATCATCCCCCCGAACTTCCACCCTCCACTCGGCTTTCTGCATAGGTCTATCAAAGTAGCTGGGATTCATACAAAGGCTCCCATTAAACCCCAAACAAGTGGACAATTGCATTTTCTTAATGAATGGGTGCAGTTGTTGCTGGTAAATTAGCAATTTGCTTCCAAATGGGTTCTCTTTTATCAATTCTTATTTTGCTATTGTCTTCTTCTATTTTTTCATGTTAAAGTACTATCATCAATTGAAATGGCATCAAAATTTATGCGACCCCCATCATATTCTGATAGAATCAAGAGGATATTGTTATCAATTTTTTGAGCCATGACTAATTCCATTTTTATTACAATTTTTTGAGTGATCGTTGAAAAATCGATTTTTGGAAAAATATCAATTTTTTCGAATCTGTATGAAAAATGGAATTTTAATTGGTGTCAATGAATAGAGCATATTAAAGTCTGTATTCATGAAAAAAATCATGAAATTCGATTCATCCCTAGCAAGAAAAAATTGGAAATTTAAATCTGAGCGATTACAAGGCTTCCATTCGGAAGCAAAACCACAAAGTTGAGGACAAGGTTTAGGACTGGTGGTTGTCACGTAAAAACTTTTGTTGGATATGAATTTTGAGGTTGACAAACGTCATTACGTGAGCCACTTTAGTCAGGGGGGATAATAAAACTTTTTCAACAGTGAGAAATGCCGACTTACTCTGGTGATATTAAGTCAGTCTCAGTCTCATAAAGTTCTGGCAGTCTCTCAAGGCCCAAATATTCCCTACGCATTCTATCAATGTCATGTTTTAGTGGTTGATACTCATTATTGTGGAGTATTTTAGCGTGCTCCCTGGCACGAGTTCTGGCTTCTTCCGCTTGTTTTATGACGGACTCCATCTGAGGAAGATACGTTTTACGCTCAGTGACATAAAGATTTAACGACTCAAACGTTAAGGATATCCAAGTATCTTTTATTTGACGACATTATAGATTCAACGATTTTCAATCACCAAATTTGTCTATTCAATTGCGTGAGAATTTTTTTTTTTAAATCATCAATATTCGCGTCATTAAAGTCACATTTTGCAGAGAATTATTATTTTTTGAACATTCGTTGTTTATAAATAAATAATTGAAATTGTGTAAATTTTCGGAAAGCTAATTTTTTTAGGCATGAAATCGATTTGTGGTAAAATTCTCAATATGAATAAGTTTTTTACGATTTCTAATAAATTATTTTCATGTTGGCAAATTGATTTTTTACAAATTATTGACAAAAAAAGCTGAAAATTTTCAAAAATTGCAATTTTTTAATTATTTCATCAATCTTTCTCATTTTTCAATTTTGTTGTTTATCTCCATGTTTATAAATCTTCAGTAGGGATCAAGAGAAAATTTCGAGAAATGAAAAAAACAACGTTCGTTAATTTGCCATAGGTGCGACGTTTTGCTAAATATCTAGCTTCTTCAGGCTCTTGACATGATCAACGTTTTAGTCGAAATAATTTAATAATTTCGCTTTTTTTCAGATTTTTAAAATGCTTTCTAACGGGTCAATATCGACATTCAAATTCAGACCTGTAAATTTTAAATTATAAAATCATTGTAAAATGCCCAGAAACTTGAGGTCAAATGAAGCTCAAACGAAAGCTCTGGTGTTGCATTACAAATGTAGAAAAGCACTTTACAAGAAAAAAAAAGCCAAAGAAGAAAGCATTTACATTTACCTTTTGCACAGAATTATTATATTTTGTAAACATTCGTCATTTCTAAATAATTAATGAACATTGTTCAAATTTTCCGAAACCTAATTTTTTCAGACATGAACTCGATTTCTGCAAAAATTCTAAAAATGAATAAACCTATAACGATTTCTAACAAATGATTTTTACGAGGGTAAATTGATTCTTCATAAATTGATAGAAAATGCTCGCAAAAAATTGCACTTTTTAAATCATTTCATAAATCTTCCTCAAAAGATTAAAAAAATGTTTTTAGGGATGCAATATCGAGATTAAAATTCAGACCTGCAGAGTTTAAATAATAAAATCATCGTAAAATGCCCAGAAATTTGGGGCGAAATGGGGCTCAAATGAAGAACTGGAGAAAACTATCCAAAGTCCTTGGATATCCCCAAAATATTTGAAATCTCTCATCTCATAAACTCCCCTCAATGTCCTTTCTCCCCTAAAAACTCACGGTATTAATGTCAGCGTGAATTTGCCTCAATTCCTCGACATGTGCCATTTTCTCCTGCATAAGTAGCTCCATTTCTTGTTTGTAATCCATCAGACACTTGTCCTCGTGCTCAGTCTGCTCGACCTCCTGAATAATCCTCTGCTTCATCTTCTCCAATTGCAGTGTCTTTGACCTGGAGAAAGCGTAAATAATGAGTGACAATCGTGAAGAAATGGGGGCAGAAATCCCTCCAGATATAATCGATTTTATCTGAGAGCGATGGGAGAAGCTGAAGCCTGGAAAATCAATAGTGAATAAAATGCCAGAGCGAGTGATCCAAATTTATGGACTGTTAATCCTATGGAAATCCTCGGCCAGATGGGGAACTATTTCGAGTTTTTCCAGGCAGGAGTGACTGCTGAAGGGAGGGGCTGCTAAAGTAACATCCGATGAATATATTCAGGAGTGAAAATGTACCTTATATCCTTGAGTGCCTCCAGCTTTGCAAAAATCACCGTAGTATCCGCCGACATTTTTACCACTGTTTCCTCTCCGGAATTTATTCCCACAGGTGCATTAATATTCAATAATTGAATGGCCGATTGTTGCCAGTGATAACAGCACTGTTGTTACAGGGGCGAAAAATCCACGAATTGGTTGGAAGAATAACTTTCAATAACTCCCTGATGTTTTATCAATGCATGCGCGGAGATTCATCTCGTAAAACTGGAGTTTCGAGGGGAATGATGCACTCGATTTTCTCGTCTTGTCACTATCACGTCTCGTTAACACTGGGTATTGTTTTTATGAATTTTTACGAGCGGTAATGTCACTGCGGGGGGGATTGATGGGAAGAGTTTAATTTATGAGTGAGACTTTTGGGGGTTTTGGAGCAAACGCCTTTGTGCAGCATCAGTGCTGTGGACCCGACGCAACTATCGGCTACAAGCACCCCCTTTTCTCCCCAAAATGGATATGTATTCGTCAGGGAGCACGAGAAAACGGTAGAGCCGGTGCGATAGGATTGCATCTTCTCGGTTGATAAGGGAGATTGAAGAGATGGAGAGGGGTCGGTAAGGAAGGGTGAAGGGTTTTCAGGCGGGAAATTCCAAAATCTTGGGGAATGTTCTCCAATCTGACGGCCTGCGAAAATGGCGCATTTAACAACGCCATGTTTTCTTGGTTTTAATTTTTTTTTTTCAATTGTTTTTGAAAAATTTATGACCTTTTTTTCTGAGATTAGATATCCTCTTCTCAATTCATTGTTTATAATCATTCTCATGTCCGAATTTATCAACGGTTAAATTTTCATATTACAATAAATGATTCNTAAAAATTCATTTGGAATATTGAGTCACAGCTTCTTTTCATTCACATCAGAAATTTTTTATTTGGATATTAATATTATTTGTTCAAAGTGAAAAAATCGATCACCATTTTCACTATATTGCATTCAGATTCTCCTATTCTTAACGTCAAAAATGTGAGATAATCTCATAATTCTAGCTATTAATTCTAATCAACTTTGTTCGAAGAAAATCTCAGTAAACGCAATATTAAGAAAGTTGAATTATTCTATTTTCCTCTGATCTGAATGATTTGGACAATTATGATTCGTTGATTCATGTTTCACAGAATGGTATTCAATTCTCTTTTGTTTGTTCGGCGGGGTTCTTGTGAGAATTTGTGAGAATCCTTCCAAAAATTAGTGTGCTGTTCACCAACGCTGGGACATAACAGGGAGTCATGGGAGAATTCGCATGTGGCACACTAATTTTTACGGGAATCCCCCGAAAAAGTGGCCGGAGTCCCACCAAAAATTAGGCTGCCCCTTATGAATTTTTCGACGACCCCATGTTATGTCCCGGCGTTGGGGGACAGCACACTAATTTTTGGGAGATTTTTTTCTCAGTGCAAGACGATTGTATTCATGAAAATCGCCTTACGTTCTCTCTATATTCTAAAAATCCAAATCGACTTCTGATGATAAAAATTTGGTACTCGAAATTGAGACTCCACAATTAAGTGTCACAAGGGTCAAAATAATGGTCATGAGGGTCAGAATAAAGGTCATCAGGTTCATAAGGGTCACGAGGTTCCGAATTAGGGTCACAAGGGTCAAAATCATGGTCATGACAGACAAAATAAGGGTCACGAGGTTCAGAATCAGAGTCATGAGAGTCAAATTAAGGGTCACAAGTTTCAGAACAAGAAAGATAGCGGTCATATGTGCATCATATGGGGGTTTTCATCTCCAGTAAAACAAAAAATCATCAAATTCATTATCCGTAGCATATAGTTTATTATACTCATATACCGTGCACATGCACATAAGTTTTATGACAATAATCTAAGCACGAGGACGTCACAGCATATGCTCATGTATTAAATATGAATGACATAAATGATTCGATCTACAGCTCAACGATTGTTCGTGTGATAAATGGATAAAAGATGATCAATGATTAGCATTGTTGCGTCTTCCACGTCTCTTCCTGCCACCGCCCCCACGTGCCCCAGCAGCTGCCCACTGCTCGTAGAATCGTTCAGCCTCGAGCCACTCTTGATACTTGTACCACCACTCCTCCCACTTGACGTAGTCATCGAGAGTCAAATCTCGTAAGTACCCACGTGCTTTGTAGTAATCGTACCGCACTCTCACGTCGTCCCAACAGTCAAGACCTCTCGGCCCTTGTGCCAATAGAGATTCTGGGTAGTGGCCAGGTGGTGGTGAATCGTAGCCTAATCGTGCAATTCTCTCCTCTCCCTCGATCACCACTTTCATTGCGTTCTCACCGTCCTTCGTTATACGCATGTTCTCCATGTCTCGACGATCTACACTCCATTGTGCCATTTTTCCAAATCTAAAATTACATTGTTGTAATAATCTTCAAGTGGTCTAATGAATTGGAGGCGTAATTGAAATAAAATGGGCGGTTTCTCATCAATGAGAGAGGTTCCCACATGAAAAAAATGTTTTCACTGATAGAAAGGATTAGTTATTGTTAACAAATGGATCTGGTTGGAGGCTAGGTCTATTCGGTTTCGCCAAATGTTCATTCGTTAATAGTTAACAAATACATATTTGAGGAGCCTTGTTTGATTCAAGATGTAATTCCGGCAAAATCGCTATATCTCACTTATAAGTTTTGGATTATAATTTTTTCTATGAGAGTTGTAACAGCAGAACAGTTCGATCAGTCTGGCATTCGTACAGGAGAGAAAAATATATGAGTCATACATTCAGTCTATATGACTATGCATTCAGTTTCATTCCATTCTCATTCACTCGGGGGAAAAGTCATTTACTTCATTCTGTAACAATATATTGCGGCAAAATCGAGTGTTCAGTTTGGCAATTCTCTCTCGTCCCGAAATAGTCGGGAACATGTGTCTTATTTCGTCATTCGGTTGAAACTTGGAATTTTGTGTCGTTTCAACACCAGAATATCATCTGTGTTGATTGAATGGATGATCGACTTACCGCTCTGACAATGTCATCTTCGGTGGCCCCACGTTAGAAGCATTGGAAGAGCTGTCACTGTCTTCACTCCCTGAAGACTCTGCTTGTGCGTGAATAACAGCTGTTGGTGGCGGATGACTCGAGTGAGTCTTCTCAATCTTCACAGGCTTTCTCATCTAGACAAATTAACACAGCTATCTCTCTCAAGTATTTACACGAAACATTGTCATACTGAGAAATACTCGTTCGAATTTTCATTTTCGATTCGANCTCACCATTCTACCCGGCCAGGAATCGAACCTGGAACCTATCCGTTGTGAGGCAACGGCCTTAACCACTACGCCAGGCCACCGGGCTACATTGCCCATGTATTTTTTTTTTTTTTTTTTTTTTTTATAAACCCAAAGAATGGAGAGTGTTGGATTTCGGGGTTTTCCCCGAGATCAAAATTCACTCTCCCAAGTTCTTTTATGTTAAGGAAAGGTTTATTGCTTTATATTGCTATGGAGTCTTCCATGAAACCCCATAATCCAATAGCGAGAAACATTAAAATTAAAAATGGATCTGTTACCAAAGGGATCGGCTCCGGGACTCTCGGATCCTCGGGTACCCTGTGATGCTTCTCCTTCCGCCTGGCCTTGGCAGCCTCCTTCTCCCTCATCGCCTTGTACTCCTTCTGATGGCGTGACTGTGGCTGCGGCGCCGGGGGTGGTGTACGCGGACGCGGTATTGGCGGGGGTGAGCGTGGCCTTGAACGCGGTATAGCCGTCCTCGAACTGGAGCTAGCAACGACATGCTCCTTCACGTGTCCCCTCTGGCGCACATGAGGCGACAGTGATCTTGAGCGTGATCGTGATTGGGCTTGTACGCGACGACGATCCCTCGGCGAACAAACCGAACACGACCTGTCCGAACAGGTGGAACCCGTACTGGGACTCCGGGCCGCTCTACCCCTCGTGTGGGAGCGTTCGCGTGGCGATCGTGCACGAGGACTGTAGGGTGATCGTGGCCGAGGACTCCTCGGGCTACGGGGATGATTCCTACTGGTCTCCCCGCTGGTAGACCCTACATAGAGCTCCTTGTAGCCACTGTGGCGCCATCTGTTTGGATCGCGCTCCTCGGCCTCGAGGAGCTTCTTGTTCCAGTAGGAGGACTTTGATTCGCGCGCTTTACGCATTACGCTGTCAAGCTCTTTGCGCTTGGAGGAGGACGACTCGCCGTGGGGACGAGTCTGGGGGATGCTTGTGTCCATTCGCATCTTGCTGGAGCTTGTCCCCAATCGACGACGGCTGTCGTAGTCCCTTGACATTGCTGAGAATTATATTTAATTCGTCAGGTCAAGGGTCTATCTTTGATTTTCGAGGGCTGCAGGAGGGATGGGGTATTTAGGGTGGGAATAGGCTGCGGAGAATTTTTTTGTGGGAATTATTAGAGATGGGGAATAAATTCGCAGGAAAATTTAGGTATTGCTGTTAGCTGCTTGGATGTGGTCTATATTGGTAGAATCCTAATCGATTTTTGGTGATGAAAATTTGGTGTTCGAAATTGAGACTTGAACATTAATGGTCGGAAATGAAGGGTTAACATAGGGGTCATGAGGGTTATAGAGAGGATCAGAATGAGGGTCGCGAGGGTCAAATTAAGAATCAGAGTAAGGGTCGCGGGTGTCAAAATAAGGGTCATGGAGGTCATATGGGGCTCTCTCGATATTATCAAAATCCAAATCGATTTCTGGTGATGAAAATTTGGTCCTCGAAATTAAGACTCAAAAATTGATGGGCAGAAATGAAGGGTCAAAATCAGGGTCACGTGGGTTATAAGGATCACGAGGGACAAGTTAAGGGTCAGAATAAGGATTTTGGGAGTCAAAATAAGGGTCATGAAGGTCATATGAGACTCTATATTATCAAAATCCAAATCGACTTCTGGTGATGAAAATTTGGTACTCGAAATTAAGACTCAAAAATTAATGGGCAGAAATGAAGGGTCAAAATAAGGGTCACGAGGGTTATAACGAGGGTCAGAATGAGAGTCGCGAGGGACAAGTTAAGGGTCACAAGGGTCAGAATAAGGGTTTTGGGAGTCAAAATAAGGGTCATATGGGGCTCTATTATCAAAATCCAAATCGACTTCTGGTGATGAAAATTTGGTACTCGAAATTAAGACTCAGAAAATTAATGGCCAGAAATGAAGGGTCAAAATAAGGGTCATATGGGGCTCTATTATCAAAATCCAAATCGACTTCTGGTGATGAAAATTTGGTACTCGAAATTAAGACTCAGAAAATTAATGGCCAGAAATGAAGGGTCAAAATAAGGGTCACGAGGGTTATAACGAGGGTCGCGAGGGACAAGTTGAGGGTCATAAGGGTCAGAATAAGGATTTTGGGAGTCAAAATAAGGGTCATGAGGGTCATATGAGGCTCTATATTATCAAAATCCAAATCGACTTCTGGTGATGAAAGTTTGGTACTCGAAATTAAGACTCAAAAATTAATGGGCAGAAATGAAGAGTCAAAATAAGGGTCACGAGGGTTATAACGAGGGTCGCGAGGGACAAGTTGAGGGTCATAAGGGTCAGAATAAGGATTTTGGGAGTCAAAATAAGGGTCACGAGGGTTATAACGAGGGTCAGAATGAGAGTCACGAGGGACAAGTTAAGGGTCACAAGGGTCAGAATAAGGGTCATGGAGGTCATATGGGGCCCTATATTATTAAAATCCAAATCGACTTCTGGTGATGAAAATTTGGTACTCGAAATTAAGACTCAAAAATTAATGGGCAGAAATGAAGGGTCTAAATAAGGGTCACGAAGGTTATAACGAGGGTAAGAATAAGGGTCACAAGGGTCAGAATAAGGGTCATGGAGGTCATATGGGGCCCTATATTATTAAAATCCAAATCGACTTCTGGTGATGAAAATTTGGTACTCGAAATTAAGATTCAAAAATTAATGGGCAGAAATGAAAGGTCACAAGGGTTATAATGAGGATCAAAATAAGGGTCGCGAGGATCAAATTAAGGGTCATAAGAGTCAGAATAACGGCCATGGGTCAAAATAAGGGTCAGAATAAGGTCATGGAAGTCATATGGGGGTTATCGAGTGAAGCAGGCAGAGGGTGCAGCTCTCTAATTCAGGAATAATGATATATCTGAATCATATTCAATTCATCACATCAAGGATTTTTTTCATTTTTGTCAGAGTTTAGTGCGATGTGACAATCTTTCATGAATAGGTCCTTCTGAGGACGTTTTTTATAAACAAAAATAAGAGCCAGTGCGAAAATTCTCCCAAAAATTCACCCTAACTCAATACAAATGATCAACTTCGAGGCAGATTTTAGTTTTCAATAGAGCTCAGTTTTGGGGTCATCACAAAGGGAAAGAATTGTTCTTGAAAAAAAAATTATTAAATTATTAAATTTCATCAGCACTTCAACCCGTCACTAATATTTAAAAAAAGTAAAGTGTCCATTTTACCCCAACCTCCTCTACCTCTATAAATAATAATTATTATCAATCTCCTTTCGGCTCCAAAATCCTTTCATTCCGCTCAAGCTTCATATATATATATATATTTTTTTTTTGAGAAGGATTGCCAACGATCACTGGAGGTGACCCTCCAAAAAAAAAATCCGAAATTTGCAAGTTTTTCATTGCAATCCCCACACCCGCGAATTGTATAAAAATTTCGCAAAAAAAATTGTCATTTGTTTGATTGACCTCGGCAATTCTAAAAAAAAAACTCACCGAATTTCGAGATTCCTCAGACGTACGTCGACGATTACCTCCAGCCTCTTCAAATCCAAAAAAAACTCCTGCGAGTACAGTGTAAGACGTTAGTTCTCATATCACTGAATACGATTTATCGTTTGCAATAAACGTATTATTTTCATACATTCACAAATAACAACCAGTAAATGCACTTATATACTTCATGAATTATGTGCTCTGTCTGTCGCAATCGCGATACCGACGAGCCCCCGAGACTCCCGAATTTCCTCAAAATGAAAAACCAATTGATCCTCGATAATCGTGACAATTGGCAGGGGCAACGAACCCGACAGCATCCGGAAGCGATTTCGGCATCACCCGAGTGATGCAGCGATCGCGGTCAGCCCTCCCTGCCACAATCAATCGATAAACAATCGCGAATGGAGAGAAAAACAACAATGAGGTAAGTTTGGCTGTCAGAATTTGAATGAGTCGAACCGACGCGCCATTTTTTCCACCGAAAATGGACGCAAGGTCATCCGCTGGCGATGCTCATCATCCCGAGACGTCACAGTCGACCGAGAGACGTCGTAATCCCGAGGAAATTATCATTTTCTCAGTCTCGCGAGCCGAAATCCCGTGGGATTATTTTTTTCAGCGAATGAACTCAGGCTTTCAGACGCCATGAGACATCGAACGAGACAGACAGAGCAGCAATCAACATCCCCGGCAAATTTATCCGTCGTAAAACTTGGCATGCATGTAAATCTCGATAAAATCCTTCGATTTACGTGGCACATAACCCCGTACATCGCTCCCACGGAAATTCAATACCCCGATAGGTTCTAAGTACATCGCGCTGGGGGAGAGGAGAAAGTGAACGGCTTGTTCCACAGTTTATCTAATAACGGACACTCACGTTTCAACTGTTCTCGGTATTGTTTTTTATCGATTACTGAGACACTCCGAGGATTAGCGATTTTTAGATTAACGAGTTGGTCGATTTTTTGGACTTATTTTTTTACCAAAATCTCGCGTGACGTTGTGGACACCGCTAGGATCAGGGATGGTGGATCCACTTTGGGGCGAGGATTGTTTACGGATCGAAGGCGTCACAAGTGCTGGGAAATATCGCGGTTTCGGTCGGTAGAGTCGCTTGAGGGAAGTTCGAGCAGGGGCCGGTAGGGTGGGCGATTGTTTTGAAAACATCGATTATCGAAGAATCGGTATTGTTTGAAATATCGAGGTTGTGAATCGATTTTCCGGGAAAAATATCGATTATTTTAAAAATCGTTATGTTATTTTTCATTACATGGATAACAAAACAAATTTCTATAAAATATTTCTTTTAATGTCGTTTTTATTGAAAAAAAAAACATCGATTATCGGGGAATTGGTTTTTTTTTTAATATCGAGGTTGTGAATCGATTTTTCTGAGAAACGATAAATTTTGTCAGGTTGATCGAAAACATCGACGTTTAGAAAAAGAATCGAAAGTCGATTAATCGACCGTTGAGAACATCGAATGGAAAACATTGATGTGTGGGCATGCAAAATCGATGTTTTCGATTAATCGACAAAACATCGTCCATATAATCGTCCGAGGGCTGCGACATGGCGCGGGCGTCAGTCGAGTGCTAATTGCCGGGAGCTATTGTTGATAAATAACACGTGTGTTGTTGATAATTGATTTTAGTAAATTGGTGGGAATAGGAGTTGAAAGATGGTTGTGGCCATTGGTTTCGAAGGAAGTGCCAATAAACTCGGGATTGGGATCATCCGGGATGATGAGGTACTGTCGAATGTCAGGAGGACGTACGTCACACCCCCCGGTGAAGGTAATTCCATTCATTAATGATGAAAGATTAATTAATTCATCGTAAAACGAGGAAAAAAATGTTACTCGTTAAATAACATTTTTAATCGTCGATAATTTCAGATTGGCAGAGTGAAATTGAACGATTTTTTTTTCATTTTGAAGGTTTTTTTGTCGATTTTGAAATGAGTCCTGACTCATCCAAATCGCATCGTTAGGTCCGGAGATATTACGAATTCAGTTTTTGTTGATTTCGTCTTAAACCAGATGTTTATATTTTGGTTTCTGTTGAATTGTGAATTATCTCAATAACAAGTGATTGTAGGAGAAAATGCCCCAGAACATTTTCTATGGAAAATTCAATTCTCTACAAAAACGATCTTTTCATATTTTCTCGTAGATCCCTTCATTAACGAGATAAATCCAAATTCCCAGGGCCATAAAATTAAATTTTCATGTTTCCCCAATTTTTCTCTGAACTCTCGATTGAATAATCTTTCCTCAGGGTTTCTCCCAAGAGAAACAGCTGTTCACCACAGAACACACGTCCTCGAGGTACTGAAGCAAGCCCTGAGTGATGCAAAATTGACAATGAAAGAGGTAGACGTGATATGTTACACAAAAGGCCCTGGAATGGGTGGACCCCTCTCAGTGCTGGCTCTGGTCGCCAGAACAGTTGCCCAGATCTACAACAAACCGATAATAGGGGTAAATCACTGTGTTGGGCACATCGAGATGGGAAGGTTGATAACCAAGAGCGAGAATCCAACGATTCTCTACGTCTCTGGGGGTAACACACAGATAATTGCGTACGCGAAGCAGAGGTACAGGATTTTCGGGGAGACGATTGATATCGCTGTTGGAAATTGTCTGGACAGGTTTGCCAGGCTCCTCATGCTCTCCAACGACCCCAGCCCTGGCTACAACATTGAACAAATGGCTAAGACGTAAATCACAACTAAATCCCCATTCGACGTTTCAAAAAACAATAAAACAAAAATTTACAAATTATTCTAGGGGTAAAAAACTAGCTCCTCTTCCTTACACAGTCAAAGGAATGGACGTGTCATTCTCTGGGATATTATCGCACATTGAGGAGCGATTAGAGGACTGGTTGAGCTCTGGAAAATACACGAAAGAGGATCTATGCTTCTCCCTGCAAGAAACTCTCTTTGCAATGTTGATAGAAATCACAGGTGACAAAGACTACAAAACAAAAGTCGATATATCTCCGGAAGCAGTGGATTTAGGAAAAAATGTATCAGGTCATTTTTTGTAGAGAATTTTCTCAGCTACAAAAAAGGTTCCATAGCATTTTCTGCTAAACCCATTCCTTTTCCAGATATAATGAAAATACTGTGATAAAGAATTTTCAAACAATTTCTGTCATCATTTCGATTTAGAATCTAATGATTAATATTGCATTGTCATGATTTCAGAGAGAGCAATGGCTCACGTGGGCTCCAACGAAGTCCTGATAGTCGGTGGAGTTGGCTGCAACGAACGTCTCCAAAATATGATGGAAATAATGTGCAAGGAGCGCTCCGCGAAGCTCTACGCCACCGACGAGAGATTCTGCATAGACAACGGAGTGATGATAGCAGTGGCTGGCCTCCTCCAGTTTAACCACGGAAAACCCACCCCCTGGAACGAGACGACCTGCTCCCAGAGATATCGAACCGACGATGTATTAATCACTTGGCGACAATAAAAAAAAACCCTCAATTCCAATGTTTCATGCTGCCTATTCAGAAGTGCAGCCAATCCCAGCCCCAATGAAGTCCCCAGACCTGTCCAAGACAAATGGGAATTCATCCCCTCGATGATTCCCCCGAAAACAAATCATGAAGAAAGCTTTTGGTTAGACCTAATGGATGCAGGTCCCCTAATGCCTTGAGTCGGGAATCCCCGGACTTCTCAAAGAATCGTGACAAGATGATTCGATAAGTTATCGGAAATAAAAACTCCTAGGCCAAATAACATAGCCACATTCCTGGCAGAGACAGACTCAAAGTTTTAAAATTATTCACGATTTCACTAAAAGTAACAATATAACAATATAAAAATTGAAAATAGGTGCAACTAAATAAAAGTTGACAGAAAAACTGAAGTTCATATGTAAATAATACTCGAATGAAGTTATGTGAATAATCCAACGATGGATTAATATTTATCAATAAAAAAATGCCGTGAGTAGATGACTAATGCCTGAGGCTCTTCACGATAACGAGATTTTTATTAAAGGTTTATTAATTTAAAACGGTTCTCTTGGAGATTATGGCTGGGTCAATCTCGCAAACTCATGTAGGATCATAATCATTCGGACACAGGATATTTAATTTAATGAAATAATGAATGTATATTTGAGTTAAATTCGGATTTCAAAAAAAAGTACACCGTTGTGGGAGCTAAACTTCTTTACATCTTGACGCGTCATCCATCCGATCAGAACTGACTCACTCTTTACTCTCTCATTCGGGCAAACACTCTTTTCTATATCTATTTCAAAATTACTTTTCTCACTCTCACTCATGCTCAATTTGAATTGAGCCCAATACTTCGACCCTCTTAAATAAAATATTAGAATATTGAAATCGCGAATTTTCGACTCTGGTGTTTTCTGAGGATAAGACCAACTTTTGAAAATAAGCGTTCCGAAGGAACACTGGATGAACAAATGGTCAACTTTTTTTTTATTTTAGCATTTCAAACTTACAAGTTTATTATGCTGTTATGCCCCAAAATAACGTCATGACTCATTCATTATTTTATATTCATCACTCATTATTTTACTAATTCAGCGTTCATGTGCAACCCAGACAGCAAAACTCGACAATTTGCCGCAATTTATCGGCAAAATAGCCTTCTTTATGGCAAACTTTCGGATCACTGTTTACTGGGAACACTGCTGACCAGTGTCATAACATGACCCGCTTAATTATTATATAAATTGAACTCACGAGGATGCGGGAGTTCAGTCGTCAACGTAAATCAAGCATAATACTTATTTTGTATCATCTTTGTAAATTCCGCATATCTATCCCTTCAGGATAACTATGAGTTAGTTTGAATAAATAAATACCTCTAATTCTACCGAGTAATACACCGAATTCCAGTATCTACCCACTGTAGGGAGATTTATCTCCAATTAGCAGAACCCAGGGCTTCATCCCTAACAATGCTGAAAAAAGGAATAAATAGAAGTTTTTATATTGATTTATTCTACATAAATACCATAATAGTGTGTCAACTTAGATAGATAGCTCACTGCTTTTGCCAAAATTATCCATAATTTTCGCTAATGAAATATAAGTTTTACATAAGAGAGGTCTAATATGATGAGGTGGTAAATATCCTTTTGCACATAGACTAGGGTAGACTAGACTAGAGATCATTTTCGCTCGTGGTGTATCATAGAAGGGCCATAGTTGAGTGTTAGCAACGAAAATGTAAGGAAATAGATTGGATAATAAAACTGCAGAAAATGAAAAATGATGAGAAAATTGTCGGTTTTAGAGGAAATTTCTTGAAATGGTGTGATTTTCAGGGAAATATAGGTCATTGCCAAAATACATGATTAAGGTCCTCAACAGACTGACCACACTTGCATTCTGAAGAGCTACCAATATTCACAATTGTCAACAAATCACAAGTGATACGAGCCAAACGAGGAAAACTCAATTTATTAATCTCACGGAATTGAAAAATAAGATTGTCGAGGTGCACAAGAGAACGCGAGACAAGACGATTTTTTTTCTTGCGCATATCCAACAAGACAAAAGACGAATTTTCTCTTGCCAATTGGAACAAGACAAGACCAGAGAAAAACCCTAAAATGACAAGACAACACAAGAACTACTTGATTCTTGTCTTGTCGCTTCACTGGATGGAAGGCACTGGTGTTGGTAGACTATACGGACCCTTTCTCAATATAAATTTTATATTTGGGAATTTTTGGGATCCGATGCCAGCCACGTCCGCGCCGTGGGTCCTGGGTGACGCCAAGAGCTGGTAAGGCTCGTAATTCGATGCTTTACCATGCTCGTGAATTTAGAAAGTGACTATCTTTAAATTAATTTATTAAAATAAATTTGCCTTTTGAAGGAAGGTGGCGAAATGGGAGGTCCCGTACACCTACCCGGCCACTTATATAATTATATAAAGTGTTCCGAAGAGTCCTAAATTCACCTCTGGCAACCCACTCCCCATGTGACAATTTCTAGCAGGGTATCTGGCAGGGGTACGTATTGTATACCAAAACCAAGGCACTTGTCAAAATGATTGAATCACCAGTCAATCCTCCCAGTAGCCATTTTCCCCCATTCACCCTAAGCCCAACCACAGATATTGCTCATACAGGGTAGCCGAGTTTATCGTCCAGGGGTAAAAAGACAGGCAGGCGCATAGCTGGCTCGCGTCCAAGTAATGCTCCGTCACAATCGTATGAAGCCAGAGCCAGCAGAAGCAGTTGAGCGTCTCAGTCGTGACTAGTCTTCTCAAAGTAACACTGGCTATCATACAAAAGAAATACAGATAACTCGAGGCGCTCAAGTTACCTTGTCAAAAAAAAAGAACAATTTTCCCCCAATTTTTCTAAATTTACCGAGACCAAGTGATCGCCTCAATGGATTACCCGTGCTGTTCAGTGATAAATACCAACAATTCGTAAAAAGAGAGAAGCGTGCGACTGCGGGGGGCACACATGGCAATCGATAGGGGAGAGAATTCATAGAGCTTGCTCGCAGCGCCCATGAAACAAGTGGCAAAGCACGTTTCGCAAGCACCTGAAGGCGTTGGATTGTTGAGTTATCGTGACGAAATATGTTTATCATACCAGTGAGTGACCTGTTTCAAGTGACAAACTGGGGTCTTCCTTAAAAAGGTGAGGGCAACACCGACAATTGAGTGAATGAAAAAAAAAAAACAAAATAACACTCGCGAATGAAACAAATAATACTATTTTATTTTCCCCTCGAGTTATTTTTATCCAGATTTTTTTATTGGCGAGACGAAGCTATTGAATTTGAAAATACATGTATTTATTTACCGTCGAGGGTTTGCGCAGAGGCAATTTACCATTGAGTCTAATAGAATGTATTTAACTGATGGATCAATGCATTGGAAATGCAATTGTGTCACTATACGGGGGGACTATTTCTATGATTGAAGCTATGGCATTAGGGGGGGGGGGGG